CAAGATCTTCTATCTTGAAACCAATATTTTTAGGACTCTGCCCCTTTTTAACTAAGAATATTTATGAAAATTTGTTATCAAATAACAGAGAAGCATTGACACCATGTGTTATGCTCTTGTTTAAGTATATCCAGTGACAAGGAGGGATCTTAAGTTTGTCAAAATAACTTTAATCATTAAAATGAATCTTGAATTTTATAGATTCTTACATGTATCGAAAATACAGAAGTCAATTTACATATTGTTTGTACCTGATGCATGGCGAGACATCTTAGTTGTTTATTAATCAGTAAATCTAAAAAAGTTCCAAAGTTACTGTTACATCTTTAGTGTGACATGAAATAAAAGAAGAATAAAGGATGGATAAAGGGCCCTGATTAATTATATTGAATTGTCAATGATTGAATTGCAAGTAGAAAGACCTTCTTGCTGTTTTAATATTATTTACCACATTTTTATGCCTCCACAAAGTGGGAAGCATATAGTGTTGCACTCTTCCGTCCGTATGTCTGTCTGTACATCCCGAAATCTTGTGAACACAACTCCTCTTAAACCGGATGGCAGATTTTGCTTAAACTTCCAGGAATGAACAACCTTAATGCGTAGATGGTAGTAAAGGAAGGAATTTAAACCGGGAGATTTTGCTTAAACTTCCAGGGATGAACAACCTTAACGTGTAGATGGTAGTAAAGGAAGGACTTTTTGCTGCGACCAAATTTAACAGAATTATGGCCCTTTATTTCATGCTTTCCAGTGTTTTACTGTAATATATCAGATAATTATATTCTGATAAACCACTAGTGAAATTTATAAAATATAATTTTCACTGTAGCCGGACTATATCTGAATGCGAATGAAAAGAATATCATAACTAACTGAAATAACTGGCAAAAATAAATGCCGTCATACATAAAGTTTGCTTCTTTAGGAAAAGAAAGTTGATGTTGTCATACATCATGTTAACAAGGAACATCGCAATGCGATGCAACCAGGTTTTCAGCAAAATATTTCACAGAAGCTTTGTCATGAAGGGGCATTTGTTTTTAATTGAACTTTTAGGAGGAATTATGGCTTTTTTAATATTCCTCAAACAAAAATGATTGAGAAATTTTATGTTGTCTATTCATCTTTTTTCCCCAAATGTTTTAGAAAGGTAAACAGTACTTTATTTTTGCTTAATTTTTGCATTTTTGCGTCTCTTGTCATTTTCTTTTGTCAACAATATTGGCGTGTGATGTTTTGTGCGATATCAAGAAAAGTATGTTCACAATTTTAATAAAAATACTTGAATGATGTCTTGGAAGAAACATGGGAATTTAGTGAGCGCCAGGGCACTTGATGACAAAGCTTCTGTGAAAGTTTGGTCAAAATCCATTGAGAAATGTAGGAGAAGTTGCGCACTGTAGAAATTGTTCACTATATATTCTGTATAAGGAAAAAATATACAAAGGGCCATAATTCGGTCAAATATTATCCAATCACAAAACCCCGACAATATGTGCCAGGCACTTGAAAACAAAGCTTCTAAGAAAGTTTGGTCAAAATCCGTTGAGAAATGTAGGAGGAGTTGAGCACAGAAGAAATTGTTCTCTATATATTCTGTATAAGGAAAAAATATACAAAGGGCCATAATTCGGTCAAATATTATCCAATCACAAAACCCCGACAATATGTGCCAGGCACTTGATAACAAAGCTTCTAAGAAAGTTTGGTCAAAATCCGTTGAGAATGTAGGAGGAGTTGAGCACAGAAGAAATTGTTCTCTATATATTCTGTATAAGGAAAAAATATACAAAGGGCCATAATTCGGTCAAATATTTTCCAATCACAAAACCCCGACAATATGTGCCAGGCACTTGATAACAAAGCTTCTAAGAAAGTTTGGTCAAAATCCGTTGAGAAATGTAGGAGGAGTTGCGCACAGAAGAAATTATTCACTATATATTCTATATAAGGAAAAAAAAACAAAGGGCCATAATTAGGTCAAATATATACCAATTGCAAAACCCTGGCAATATGTGTCAGGGCACTTGATGACAAAGCTTCTGAGAAAGTTTGGTCAAAATCCGTTGAGAAATGTAGGAGGAGTTGCGCACAGAAGAAATTGTTCACTATATATTTTATATAAGGGAAAAAAACAAAGGGCCATAATTAGGTCAAATATTATCTAATCGCAAAACCCCGACAATATGCGCCAGGGCACTTGATGACAAAGCTTCTGTGAAAGTTTGGTCAAAATCCGTTGAGAAATGTAGGAGGAGTTGCGCACAGAAACTATATATTCTATATAAGGAAAAAAAACAAAGGGCCATAATTAGGTCAAATATATACCAATTGCAAAACCCTGGCAATATGTGTCAGGGCACTTGATGACAAAGCTTCTGAGAAAGTTTGGTCAAAATCCGTTGAGAAATGTAGGAGGAGTTGCGCACAGAAGAAATTGTTCACTATATATTTTATATATGGAAAAAAAAAACAAAGGGCCATAATTAGGTCAAATATTATCTAATCGCAAAACCCCGACAATATGCGCCAGGGCACTTGATGACAAAGCTTCTGTGAAAGTTTGGTCAAAATCCGTTGAGAAATGTAGGAGGAGTTGCGCACAGAAGAAATTGTTTACGCCCGCCCGCCCGCCCGCCCGTCCGCCCGCCCGCCCGTCCGCCCGCCCGCCCGACATACCTCAATCTAATAACCAGTTTTTTCCTTTCGGAAAACCTGGTTAAAAATTTAACAGAACTAGAGAAATTTAACATCACTATATTTCAATGCGATGTTATACAGCAAAATCAGTAAAAAGTACTTAAAATCATTTTTTTTTTACATATAAGAATGAAATATATTTCATTCATGAACACCAGCTTTTCTATTTTCAAGAGTGGCGTAGCCACACATGAACATATTGCATCTGGTGTTCACTCAGTGAAATAAATTTCAATCTTACATGCAAAACAAACAAATATCCTCTATGAATTCATATATTTTATGAAATATTTGTTTCAAAATTTTGCTATTGGCATTGTAGGAAGGCCATGTTGGTGTTTTAAAACTGTTGTTGGACTTTGGTGTTAACAGCAATGTCATTGATGCTAAGGGAAGAACAGGTAAGTTGCTCTTGTCAAACCTGTTTGTAAAAGAGAAAATAGATCAAAATTGTCACCTTTGTGCAATAATAGGTTAACTCCTATTAAATTATATAAGGAGTTAATCTTTTACTGCACTAAGGTGACAAAAATGTTGAAAAATTTCATGTCATCTGGCACTGTAATTGATTCAATCATAAATTGGGATTGTTGCTTTATGTGAAAGGGTATTGGTGGCCTAGTGGTTAAAATAAATCCTTCTCAGCCCAAAGGTTTAAGGACTGAGCACAACTGGTTTCACTACCAATGCCTTAAGAGTATGTGCTTGTCAACCTAGAGGTCTTTGGTTTAAGACCAACTGTGCTCTCCACCATTTTTAGCTCACCTGTCACAAAGTGACATGGTGAGCTTTTGTGATAGCTTTTCGTCCGTCCGTTGTCCGCAAACTTTTACTTTAAATGACATCTCATCATAAACCACTAGGCCAATTTCATCCAAACTTCACAGGAATGTTCCTTTGGTGGTCACCTTTGAAAATTGTTCAAAGAATTTAATTCCATGCAGAACTCTGGTTGCCATGGCAACCAAAAGAAAAAACTTAAAATATCTTCTTCTAAAAAACCCAAAGAGCTAGAGCTTAGATATTTGGCATGAAACATCTTCTAATGGGTGTCTACCAAGTTTGTTCAAATAAAAGCCCTGGGGTCAAAATTGGCCCCGCCCCAGGGGGTCATTGATTTTCCTTATATGCATATAGTAAAAACTTAAAAAATCTTCTTTTAAAGAACCCAAAGAGCTAGAGCTAAGATATTTTGCATGAAACATGTTCTAATGGATGTCTACCAAGTTTGTTCAAATAAGAGCCCTGGGGACAAAATTGGCCCCGCCCCAGGGGTCATTGATTTTTCTTATATGCTTTATTTACCAAGAGTCGTGGGCATTTCTAAAAATAAACCAGTGACGTATGATGACGTCACAGTAACAAGCATGGAAATTACCAGAAAATGTTAAACTATTTGTATTTTGCACTGTCATGATCTTTTATGCATCTCCTAAGACTTATTTCCGATTATCTAGCTCATTTTATATAGGTACCATTTTGCATTAACATGCATTTTGCTTTTCCTTGAGTCGTGGCTAACATGTATGTCAACAGTAGTGTAAGAAAACATTTGTCAAATCTCAGTGAACTATTTCAAGTTACCTAACCAATTTATTAAACATCATTGTATGACTAGAAACTTCTATCTTTAGCGATTTAGAGTCAGATTTGATTAATTTTTTCGGTACTTAACAGTCTTCAATAAGATCTATTAGAGTTTGTAATGAAACTAAAATAAAACATCAGGGCAACTTTCATTCTGTCTTCAAAATCTTTTACACATTAACAAAATTGTAGCAACAATTGCAAATGATATTTTAATAAAGCAATGTGGTTTTCAAATGTATCCTATACCGTTCATTTTGCTTTATAAACAAACATAACTAGTTGCAAAATGACGCAGATACAACAAATGATTTCAAAATTTTATTCAAGATGGATAATGGATCGATAATAGATATAATGATGCCGATGACCAAGTGTTAGTTTATATTTCAATTAATAGTTCAGTGAGACTTTCTGTGGGCCCAATTTTGGCGCGAAATTAAGTCGCACCTGTTCCAAACACCGGAAACCAGTAGGTTGTTGTTGTTGTTGTCAAAAAAATGTAAACAAACCGTACAAATGGCCAAATTATTCGATTATTACAGTATTTACAACTTTTTAACAACAAATTATAAGAAATATATATAATTAAAATACATTTTTAACCACATAAAAAGTCATCTACGATTTTAACCCACCCACGACTCAAGGAAAACCCACGACTTAAGGAAAAGCAGCCATATGTGTATAGCAAAAACTTAAAAAATCTTCTTTGAAAAAAATCAAATTGCTTGAGTTTAGACATTAAGCATGAAGCATCTTCTAGTGAGTGTCTACAAAGTTTGTTCAAATAAAAGCCCTGGGGTCAAAATTGGCCCGCCCCGGGGGACATTGATTTACCTTATATGTGTATAGCAAAAACTTAAAAATCTTCTTTGAAAAAACCCGAATAGCTAGAGTTAAGATATTAAGCATGAAACATTTTCTAGTAAGTGTCTACAAAGATTGTTCAAATAAAAGCCCTGGGGTCAAAACTGGCCCTGCCCCAGGTGTGTCATTGTTTTTAACTATATGTGTAAAGAAAAAACTTGAAAAAAATCTTCTTTTAAAAAACCCAACGAGCTAGACCTTAGATGTTTAGCATGAAACATCTTCTAATGGGTGTCTACCAAGTTTGTTCAAATAAAAGCCCTGGGGTTTAAACTGGCCCCGCTCCGGGGGCCTATATACAGGTGAGCGACTTCAGGGCCATCATTGCCCTCTTGTTTCCTCATGTTACTAGTACTAGACTTACATGTCAGGTCACTGACACATGTCCTTTAACATGAATTGTCATGAAGTTATTCTCAATTGTTAAATTTATGATTTTATTTGTATGCCCTTTGTTTAATCTGGCAATCACTGAGAATAGTAAAGCATGGTGTCTGTTCATTCAGAACCTTCAAAACTTAGACACAATCTGAACACAAGCTTCATTTAAACATATTTGGTATTACCTTAACCCCAACATGATCTTGACTTCCAAGGTCATATTTTCTAACTCTTCACCATGACTTCTTTAGTTTTGTTTGGTATGACTACAAATTTTACTATTTTCTTTGACAAATTTATATGCAATAACATCACTTTTTAGCTCGACTTTTCTATGAAAAGGGGAGCTATCCTACTCGCCCCGGCGTCGGCGTCGGCGTTGGCGTCACACCTTGGTTAAGTTTTTCGTACCACCCCACTTTATTTCAGAAGTATTACAAGTATGGCTTTGAAACTTACCATACTTGTTCACCATCATAACCTCCATCTACAGACAAGAGTACATAACTCTGTCAAGGTTTTTGACAGAATTATGGCCCTTTTTGACTTAGAAAGTGTATTGAGCTTGGTTAAGTTTTTTGTACCACCTCACTTTATTTCAAAACCATTGGAGGTATTTGCTTTGAAACTGACCATACTTGTTTTACCATCACGACCTTCATCAACAGACAAGAGGACATAACTCTGTCAAGGTTTTTGACAGAATTATGCCCCTTTTTGACTTAGAAAATACATTGAATATGGGTAAAATCCACTTATTGCCTTAACCCTTTGAGATATTGCTTTGAAACTTTTAATGCTATTTCACATCATTACCCCCATCTGTACGCAAGAGAAGGTAACTCTGTCAAGGATTTGTTTTAAAAATTAAGGCCTTTTATCGACTTAGAATCTTGGTTAAGTTTTTAGTACCAGTCCACTTTTTGACTGAACTGTTTGAGATATTAATTTGAAAGTTGGAATACTTGTTTACAATCATGATTCCCAAACATGTCCAGGAGAAGGTAATTCTGTCAAAGATTTTATTTGAATTATGGCCCTTAACTGTCAATGTTTTGTATTATAGGCAAGCACTAAAAAACTTAAAAAATCTAAAAAAATTCATTCCTATCCACTTGTTCACTTTACCATAAATTATGTCATATAAACATTGCTGTAATATTCAAGGGTATCAAACAACTAGTTATTTTTCTCTTTTTGTACTTGAAATTAAAATCAGTAGTATATGCTCATGGCCATTGTTCACTTTAAAAATACAGAGATTCTTGTATTGCCTTTTACTGCAAAAACTTTTTTTATTGGCAAGCAATAAAAAAGTCGAGCGCGCTGTCTTACGGACAGCTCTTGTTATTTACAGCTCTTCATATAGCAGCAGGTGCTCAACATGCAGACTGTGTTTTAATCTTACTGCAACATGGTGCTGACTGTAGACTTGACAAAGCTGGAACCAGTCCAAAACAACTGGTGGTGAAACAGGATGTTCTTAAGGTGTTTGACCAGTTTGAGGATACTTGACCAGTTTGAGGATACTTGAATACCATAATATGTCATAATGAAGAAAGTGTTGTCCAGGTTTTTGACAGTGTTGGTACAAGATGTGATACAAGGAATCAATGAGAAAAAAGAATTAAAGATTCATTATGTGTGCAACCTCTGTAAAACCGTTTTGTATGGTTTTATGTATAGTTGAGACTGGGAGTAATGTAATTGTCACCTCTGGACTGGATAATGTTTTCCTCATCATAGGGCATGTTTTTTTTCTAATGGCAGATATACAAATTTGTTACGAGCTGTTAAAAATGTACATCTATATAATTCATAAAAAGGCATCCTTAAAAGTAAATAAACAGATAAGAGAATCTGTAAGATCAATATAGTCCAGAGAGCAGTTATTTTTTTTTTTAGTACAGGCCTTATAAAGGTAAGTATTTCTGCTTGTTAGCTCACCTTGCACAAAGTGCAGGTGAGCTTTTAGGATGGCCAACCAAATGGCGTCCGTCGTCAGTCGTCCGTCCACATTTTAAATATTCTAAGGACATCTTCTATGATACCGCAAGGCCAATGTTAATGAAACTTGGCAGGAATACTCTTTGTATGAAGCTCTATCAAGATTGTTCAAAGAATTCCATTTCATGCAGAACTCTGGTTGCCATGGCAACCGAAAGAAAAATCTTTAAATATCTTCTTTTAAAGAACCGTAAGAGCTAGAGCTTAGATATTTGGCATGAAACATCTTCTTATGAGTGTCTACCAAGTTTGTTCAAATAAAAGCCCTAGGGTCAAAATTGGCCCGGCCCCAGGGGGTCAATGATTTTCCCTATATGCATATAGTAAAAACTTAAAAAATCTTCTTTTAAAGAACCCAAAGAGCTAGAGCTAAGATATTTGGCATGAAACATCTTCTAGTGAGTGTCTACAAAGTTTGTTCAAATAAAAGCCCTGGGGTCAAAATTGGCCCCGGCCCGGGGGGTCATTGATTTTCCCTATATGCATATAGTAAAAACTTAAAAAATCTTCTTTTAAAGAACTGTAAAAGCTAGAGCTTAGATATTTGGCATGAAACATCTTCTAGTAAGTGTCTACCAAGTTTGTTCAAATAAAAGCCCTGGGGTCAAAATTGGCCCGCCCCAGGGGGTCATTGATTTTCCCTATATGCATATAGTAAAAACTTAAAAAATCTTCTTTTAAAGAACCCAAAGAGCTAGAGCTAAGATATTTAGCATGAAACATCTTCTAATGAGTGTCTACCAAGTTTGTTCAAATAAAAGCCCAGAGGTCAAAATTTGCCCTGCCCCAGGGGGTCATTGATTTTCCCTATATGCATATAGTAAAAACTTAAAAAATCTTCTTTTAAAGAACCCAAAGAGCTAGAGCTAAGATATTTGACATGAAATATCTTCTAATGAGTGTCTACCGAATTTGTTCAAATAAAAGCCCTGGGGTCAAAATTGGCCCCGCCCCAGGGGGTCATTGATTTTCCCTATATGCTTATAGTAAAAACTTAAAAAATCTTCTTTTAAAGAACTGTAAGAGCTAGAGCTTAGATATTTGACATGAAACATCTTCTAGTGAATGTCTACCAAGTTTGTTCAAATAAAAGCCCTGGGGTCTAAATTGGCCCTGTCCCAGGGGGTCATAGATTTTCCCTATATGCATATAGTAAAAACTTAAAAATCTTCTTTTAAAGAACCCAAAGAGCTAGAGCTAAGATATTTAGCATGAAACATCTTCTAATGAGTGTCTACTAAGTTTGTTCAAATAAAAGCCCTGGGGTCAAAATTGGCCCCGCCCCAGGGGGTCATTGATTTTCCCTATATGCATATAGTAAAAACTTAAAAAATCTTCTTTTAAAGAACTCAAAGAGCTAGAGCTAAGATATTTAGCATGAAACATGTTCTAATGGGTGTCTACCAAGTATGTTCAAATAAAAGCCCTGGGATCAAAACTGGCCGCCCCGGGGGTCATTGATTTTCCTTATATGTGTATAGCAAAAACTTAAAAATCTTCTTTGAAAAAACCCAAATAGCTTGAGTTTAGATATTATCGAGAAACATTTTTAAGTAAATATCTACAAAGTTTGTTCAAATAAAAGCCCGGGGGTCAAAACTGGCCCTGCCCCAGAGGTGTCATTGTTTTTAACTATATGTGTATAGTAAAAACTTAAAAAATCTTCTTTTAAAAAACCCAATGAGCTAGAACTTAGATGTTTAGCATGAAACACCTTTTTATGGGTGTCTACCAAGTCTGTTCAAATAAAAGGGGGGGGGGGGCTATATACAGGTGAGCTACCTCAGGGCCATCATGGCCCTCTTGTATGTCTTTTGTGTTATATGTCTTATTTTTGAAGTTTGAACTGTTTTTGATAAACATTAAGAGTAATTTATATGTAGCGGCAAAAATTAAAGAAATATGAATAATTTGAATATTTCACACTATTATACTTGAAGTCGAGGGTGTTATATTTTAGTTCTTGGGTTGCTTATATGCACCATTACGCTGAGAGACGTGTTATGTTTTTAGCTCACCTGTCACAAAGTGACGGGGTGAGCTTTTGTGATCGCTTTTCGTCCCTCGTCCAGAAACAGTGTAATTATGTCTTATTAAATTACTATTTCAGTGTTTTGACTTCCCAAACTTTTTTCGAGTAGTGCTCGCAGTCCTGCAGGAAAAGTTGATAGAGGCATGTGACAGAATCAAAGAGTCCGTCCGTCTGTAAACTTTTACTTTAAATGACATCTCTTCATAAACTACTAAGCCAATTTCATCCAAACTTCACAGGAATGTTCCTTTGGTGGTCACCTTTAAAAATTGTTCAAAGAATGTAATTCCATGCAGAACCCTGGTTGCCATGGCAACCAAAAGAAATAACTTAAAATATCTTCTTTTAAAAAACTGTAAGAGCAAGAGCTTAGATATTTGCCATGAAACATCTTCTAGTGGGTGTCTACCAAGTGTGTTCAAATAAAAGCCCTGGGGTCAAAATTGGCCCCGCCCCAGGGGGTCATTGATTTTCCCTATATGCATATAGTAAAAACTTAAAAAATCTTCTTTTATAGAACCCAAAGAGCTAGAGCTAAGATATTTAGCATGAAACATCTTCTAATGAGTGTCTACCAAATTTGTTCAAATAAAAGCACTGGGGTCAAAATTGGCCCTGCCCCAGGGGGTCATTGATTTTCCCTATATGCATATAGTTAAAACTTAAAAAATCTTCTTTTAAAGAACCCATAGAGCTAGAGCTAAGATGTTTAGCATGGAACATGTTCTTATGAGTGTCTACCAAGTCTGTTCAAATAAAAGCTCCGGGGTCAAAATTGGCCCCGCCCCAGGGGATCATTGATTTTCCTTATATGCATATAGTAAAAACTTAAAAAATCTTCTTTTAAAGAACTCAAAGAGCTAGAGCTAAGATATTTGCATGGAACATGTTCTAATGGGTTTCTACCAAGTATGTTCAAATAAGAGCCCTGGGGTCAAAATTGGCCCCGCCCTGGGGGTCATTGATTTTCCTTATATGTGTATAGCAAAAACTTAAAAATCTTCTTTGAAAAAACCCAAATAGCTAGAGTTTAGATATAAGGCATGAAACATCTTCTAGTAAGTGTCTATAAAGTTTGTTCAAATAAAAGCCCTGGGGTCAAAACTGGCCCCGCCCCAGGGGTGTCATTTATTAACTATATGTGTATAATAAAACCTTAAAAAATCTTCTTTTAAGAAACCCAATGAGCTAGAGATTAGATGTTTAGCATGAAACATCTTATGTTTGTCTACCAAGTTTGTTCAAATAAAAGCCCTTGGGTTAAAATCGGCCCTGCCAGGGGGGTTGGGGGGGGGGTTGCTATATACAGGTGAGCGACTTCAGGGCCATCATGGCCCTCTTGTTTTTCTGTTACAATGTAAGTGAAGAAGGTTTATGCAATGAGATTCATCCTCAAATGTTTTATAATTGGATGCTGCTATTTTATTATGCATATGGTGTTTTTTTTTTTAGCTCACCTGTCACAAAGTGACAGGGTGAGCTTTTGTGATTGCTTTTCGTCCGGCGTCCGTAAACTTTTACTTTAAATGACATCTCCTCATAAACCACTAGGCTAATTTCATCCAAACTTCACAGGAATGTTCCTTTGGTGGTCACCTTTAAAAATTGTTCAAAGACTTTAATTCCATACAGAACTTTGGTTGCCATGGCAACCGAAAGAAAAAACTTTAAATATCTTCTTTTAAAAAACCCTAAGAGCTAGAGCTTAGATATTTGACATGAAACATCTTCTAGTGAGTGTCTACCAAGTTTGTTCAAATAAAAGCCCTGGGGTCAAAATTGGCCCCGCCCCAGGGGGTCATTGATTTTCCCTATATGCATATAGTAAAAACTTAAAAAATCTTCTTTTAAAGAACCAAAAGAGCTAGAGCTGAGATATTTAGTATGAAACATGTTCTAATAAGTGTCTACCAAGTTTGTTCAAATTTAAGCCCTGGGGTCAAAATTGGCCCCCCAAGGGGGTCATTGATTTTCCCTATATGCATATAGTAAAAACTTAAAAAATCTTCTTTTAAAGAACTCAAAGAGCTAGAGCTAAGATATTTAGCTTGAAACATGTTCTAATAGGTGTCTACTAAGTTTGTTCAAATAAAAGCCCTTGGGTCAAAATTGGCCCCGCCCCGGTGGTCATTGGTTTTCCTTATATGTGTATAGCAAAATCTTTAAATATCTTCTTTGAAAAAACCAAAATGGCTAGAGTTTAGATATAAAGCATGAAACATCTTCTAATGAGTGTCTACAAAGTTAGTTCAAATAAAAGCCCTGGGGTCAAAATTGGCCCCGCCCTGGGGGTCATTGATTTTCCTTATATGTGTATAGCAAAAACTTAAAATCTTCTTTGAAAAAACCCAAATAGCTAGAGTTTAGATATAAAGCATGAAACATTTTCTAGTAAGTGTCTACAAAGTTTGTTCAAATAAAAGCCCTGGGGTCAAAATTGGCATCGCCCAAGGGGTGTCATTGTTTTTAAATATATGTGTATAGTAAAAACTTTAAAAAATCTTCTTTTAAAAAGCCCAATGAGCTAGAGCTTAGATGTTTAGCATGAAACATGTTCTAATAAGTGTCTACCAAGTTTGTTCAAATAAAAGCCCTGGGGTCAAAATTGGCCCCGCCCCAGGGGGTCATTGCTTTTCCCTATTTGCATATAGTAAAAACTTAAAAATCTTCTTTTAAAGAACTCAAAGAGCTAGAGCTAAGATATTTAGCATCAAACATGTTCTTATAGGTGTCTACCAAGTTTGTTCAAATAAAAGCCCTGGGGTCAAAATTGGCCCCACCCTGGGGTCATTGATTTTCCTTATATTTGTATAGCAAAAACTTAAAAAATCTTCTTTGAAAAAACCCATATAGCTAGAGTTTAGATATTAAGCAAGAAACATTTTCTAACGAGTGTCTACAAAGTTTGTTCAAATAAAAGCCCTGGGGACAAAATTGGCCCCGCCCGGGGGGTCATTGATTTTCCTTATATGTGTATAGCAAAAACTTAAAATCTTCTTTGAAAAAACCCAAATAGCTAGAGTTTAGATATTAAGCATGAAACATCTTCTAGTAAGTGTCTACAAAGTTTGTTCAAATAAAAGCCCTGGGGTCAAAACTGGCCCCGCCCCAGGGGTGTCATTGTTTTTAACTATATGTGTATAGTAAAAACTTTAAAAAATCTTCTTTTAAAAAGCCCAATGAGCTAGAGCTTAGATGTTTAGCATGAAACATGTTCTAATAAGTGTTTACCAAGTTTGTTCAAATAAAAGCCCTGGGGTCAAAATTGGCCCCGCCCCAGGGGGTCATTGATTTTCCCTATATGCATATAGTAAAAACTTAAAAAATCTTCTTTTAAAGAACTCAAAGAGCTAGAGCTAAGATATTTAGCATCAAACATGTTCTAATAGGTGTCTACCAAGTTTGTTCAAATAAAAGCCCTGGGGTCAAAATTGGCCCCACCCTGGGGGTCATTGATTTTCCTTATATTTGTATAGCAAAAACTTAAAAAATCTTCTTTGAAAAAACCCATATAGCTAGAGTTTAGATATTAAGCAAGAAACATTTTCTAACAAGTGTCTACAAAGTTTGTTCAAATAAAAGCCCTGGGGACAAAATTGGCCCCGCCCGGGGGGTCATTGATTTTCCTTATATGTGTATAGCAAAAACTTAAAATCTTCTTTGAAAAAACCCAAATAGCTAGAGTTTAGATATAAAGCATGAAACATCTTCTAGTAAGTGTCTACAAAGTTTGTTCAAATAAAAGCCCTGGGGTCAAAACTGGCCCCGCCCCAGGGGTGTCATTGTTTTTAACTATATGTGTATAGTAAAAACTTTAAAAAATCTTCTTTTAAAAAGCCCAATGAGCTAGAGCTTAGATGTTTAGCATGAAACATCTTCTTATGGGGGGGGGGCTAAATACAGGTGAGCGACCTCTGGCCATCATGGCCCTCTTGTTTTTTATTGGGTTTTATGTCACACCGATACAGTATTGGTCATATGGCGACGTTCCAGCTTTACTGGTGGAGGAAGACCTCAGGTGCCCTTCCTTGCATTATTTCAGGCACAAACAGGTACCTGAGTAGAACCATCGACGTTCCGTAAGTTAGCTGGATAGCTTCCTCACATGACAGAATTCAAAGTCCCCGTCGGGATTCGACTTACAGCGGTGAAGGGCAAGTGGTTTCAAGTCAACGACCTTAACCACTCGGCCACGGACGCCCTGCATATGTTGTAGCTTGTAGCCATTCAGATCTAATAAAGAGTACAGGGACAAAGTGTAAGGTTACTGTCCATTCCTATGTGACCGAGTGATTTTCAAAACTAACACCTTTCCAGTACGATTACAAACCACAACAACAAGCAAGGGAGGATAATTAAGACATCAAACATCAGCAAATTTGACAGTATTACTTTATTGTTTTATATTTAGTAAAAGACAAACATGCATATCAATATATATTATACAAGCTTTTTACATGGAAACTTTGCTAATGCTATCTCACAATAGCTGCAGAAGAAGATTTAAATTGTTAAATAACTGACAGATTTATTACCAAAAATGTGGAACATGGGTTTTATATACACTAACACAGTCAAACCTATGCTGAAATACTAACTTCAGCTAAAAAGTCATCTGCTTCCTAAGACTATATTGCTTTTTTATTTAAATTGAAACAATAACTGAACCTAATACTGTCAATAAAAACCACCTAAGTATAAAAGACAACCTGCTTCTGTCTGAATAATGGTCTCCATACAGTACTGACCCTTTAACTTTTTTTTCATATTTAACTTTTAATTGTTGGGTCTCCAAACAGGTTACATTGTATTAAATTGAAAAGTGCTTTATTGTTAACCCTTTTCACACTGTATATTGGAGTTGTCCAGCTTTATATTTGGAAATATCCATGATTTCAACCTAAGAATGCTAAAATTGAGCACCCAACAATGTAGAGTTGTCAGACATGCAGGCTGGCCTGACTACACTGGTGTACGGATGCACAGGCTGACCTGACTACACTGGTGTATGGATGCACAGGCCAGCCTGACTACACTGGTGTACGGATGCACAGGCCGGCCTGACTACACTGGTGTACGGATGCACAGGCCAGCCTGACTACACTGGTGTACGGATGCACAGGCCAGTCTGACTACACTGGTGTATGGATGCACAGGCCGGCCTGACTAAAGTGGTAGCATAAACAAGTCAATATATTAGCTAACCTTCAAAGTGAAAATAAAAAAAACAAGAACATCTTTACAATAAAAATTCCATTAAAATCAAGTATGTTTTCTGTAATTCAAACATCTGTTGTTTTGATAATTTTTTATCTTGTCAGTTTTTGGGGGTTTTTTTGTATGAATAATTTCAAAGATATTAACATGTAAATTGACTGCTTCAGTTAGAGTAAAATGAAAATACTTAGTGATTTCCTTGTTATATTGAATTTATATTTTGAAAAAAAATTATATGTATTCTTATCAAACATAAGGAATCTTTTTCCTTATTTAAGTACTATCACTGACTTTAATTGTATACCCAAAAAGAACTTTTAAAGATGCCACTCTGTACATATTACTCTGTATATATTGTGGGTAATCTGTTAATACATAGTGATACACTAAATCATTTTGTAAAAGGAATTTCAAAATTAAATTTGTCATTTAATTAAAAGAAATAAACACCATATTTTAAAGTACAAATGTATATATGCAAGTTTTATTATTTTTCTTGATCAAGTTGTTTCCCAACATGTGTACCAGTAGTTGTTGCAAGGTGACTGACAAAATTCTGAATGTCTTCTAAAGCAGGTTTCCCATTTATAAACTAGGTACACCAAGTGGTTCATATTAGAAACCAGTTGTTTCAGTGAATAGAAATAGGAAACATAAACATAAAAGGAGACTATTCAATTTATTCCACCTAGATAATAAGCGATTAAGCTAGTAAAAAAACAACAAGATGGCCCTAGATCGCTCACCTGACCCATTGAACTTATCTGAACAATTACTTAGACAAGAGCATTCTGACCAAGTTTCATGACAGGTGAGTCAACAATGTGACCACTCGAGTGTTAACAAGGATTATCCATATTTGAGCAGTGTGACCTAGTTTTTGACCCCAGGTTATATATATACATGTATATATATATACATATGTATATATATATATATGTATATACAGTATACTTGGATATACAGTTACATTCCTCCATTTACGGGGCATCGGTCTATTTAAGACCATACTTGTGGGGTTTATATTTAATGTGGGGCATACATAAGACCTCGCAATTCTAGCATGTTTAAAATGACGTATGGGGGTGTAGGCTACCCTTCTAAAATAGTGCCCGTAAGCCGGTTTTAATAGTTAATGCCATATGCACCACAAATGTATATATTTTTAATGGGGTTTTATGTTTCCTGTCAAAATGTTTTCACCTATTGTAAAATTAAATATATAGTTGATATATATAACTTAATTAGTACCCCTTAGTTCTGTTGTTTGGAAATGTTCATTATATGCCTACATAGTGGCATATATAAAAACTGACTGCATGAAATAATGCCACTCTAGTTGGTCCCCGTAAGTGATGGTATGTGTGAATATATATATATATACATATTCAAACTTGACCTAAAAATCATAAAAACAAACTTTCAGACCAATTTCCAGTATACTTGGATCAATACAGTAGCCACTAGAGTGTTAAAAAGATTTTTCTATTTTTAGCTCCTGTGACCTAGTTTTTCATCCAAGATGACCCATGTTCGAACTCATCCGAGCAATTATCTACGACAAGCATTCTGATCAAGTTTGATGATAATTGACCACTAGAGTGTAATAAGGTTTTTCCATATTTGGGCGGTGTGACCTAGTTTTTGACCCCAGGTGACCGATGTTCGAACATGACCTAGAAATCATCAAAACAAACTTTCAGACCAATTTCCAGGATATTTGGATCAAAACAGTAGCCACTAGAGTGTTAACAAGGCTTTGCTATTTTTAGCTCCTGTGACGTAGTTTTTCATCCGAGATGACCCAAGTTCGAACTCATCCGAGCAATTACCTAGATAAGCATCCTGACAAAGTTTGATGATGATTGAGGCAAGAAATGTGACCGCTAGAGTGTGGACGGAAGACGGACATTCAATGATCCTAAAAGCTCACCCTGAGCTAGCTCAGGTGAGGTAAAAAACACAATTTCTAAGGGAGATAATTAAGTTCCTAAGACATTGAATCAAAATGAGATATAGTTATATAGTTTAACCCAAGCATACTCTTCATTAAATAAGTCAGAAAAACAACAATAGGCAGTGTTTATATAAGAAATAATTAACACATAACAATACCAAGCAATAAGAGTATGTACATCTACTTATTAATGACTAGGGGGAGATAATCATGAAACAATGTAATGTAGAATAGTTTAGTGAAAAACAGGCACTAGAAATGAGCTTACTGTATATATATAAATGTATGCAAATCTCCTCATTTCTATTATGTAAATTAACTATATTGTTATGTTCAAAGTAAATCTGATTTTGTTTTCCCTGAAATAAAGTTGAAATTGTGTTATACTTCAAACAAACTTTCTTAACCATACTTGCTTTTTTCTGTGTTAAAGGAATGAAACTTTGCAGAAATATAACTATACTGGTATATATTGCTTATCTCATGCAAAATGTTTACACAGTATTTACATTGTTGATTTTATATTTAGTATTTCAGAGCTATAGTCCCCATAATCAATATCTCATATGATACATTAGTACTATCCCCTTTCATATGATACATTAGTACTTTAATATTTCAGAAAATGAAAGCTTATATTAAATAACATTTTTTTTACTTCTAAAATAAAAAATGAGATTGAATACATTTCTATGAACACAGTATAATGTTGGATCTCCTGGGTACAATTCAAAATGTTATAACACTTCTTCCATATTTGAGTGTACATGTCATTTGCATGATAAGGAGAAAACTGAAACAAGAAATGCATCTATTAATAACACAATATACCACCATTTCCCTATAACTCATTTCTGACAAAAACCAACAACAAGGTCCTGGATAATACAACTTGCTATCAAGTGGTAACATTATAATCATTCAACATTTTACTTTCAATATGTGATAGATTAATCAAAGTGCTTGAATGATGAATTTAATTCAAGTAAATAAGAAACTAATTTTTGACAAGTAAGAAACTAATTTTTGACAAATAAGAAACTAATTTTTGACAAATAAGAAACCAATTTTTGACAAATATAATAAACTAATTTTTCACAAATAAGAAACTTAAATTTTGACAATGAAGTTTCTAAGAACTTAGACATACTACTAGTTATTGTTGCTATTGGTAGAAGGTTTATGCCATTTCAAACTGATTACCGGGAACATGAAATATTTCATATGATATTTAAAGCAAAAATAAACAAAAGTAAAATAAATATTAATTAAATCATGTAAAATGATTTAAAATTGTTACATCAGAATTTTTTCTCATTCTCATAATGCACATATTATCAAAGGTTATGTTACATATAAACATAAAAAGGCAACCAGTCCTGAAATCCACCTTTGATATTGGTCAATTTCTTACTTAAATAAGGAATTAAACCACTCAAATGCTAGAGTCTCAAGATTGGTCTTCAGTATCAAGCTTTTTGGCCAAAATGTCAAAAAAAAAGAACCGTAAGGCATTCAACCCTGATTTCGCATGTTATCAATGGCTTGAACATTGTAAAACAGCTGTTTATCTTATTACATTTACATGTATTCCACATATATTGTACAATTGTTTTTTTTACAGGCCTCACAATAATAAGAATTTATAACAATAAGATTCCTATACATGAAAATCTCCATTGTTACAGGAACGTATTGCAGACTATAATCTTTAAGCATGATTACACGTTGTTATTGTGTCCAATTTTAATTTCAAATCTTCAGTTAACTTTCTATACGTATTTCCTGACCAAAATTTTAAGCATTTTCTACACATATCTAAAATAAAAAAATGTACAAAGTATTTGCAGTCATCTTACGCACTAACACATTTGCACAAAAAAGAAAATAAGAAAATAAAAAAAAAATATATTTACACTGGTTAGCACATTCTTACCATTAAATAGTTTATCATTTTTGTAGCATATCCGACACACACTTTTCTAGTATTGGGAATTTAACTATACAAAGGAAGTCATGTATTCTTTCTACTTTAACTCGGGCTTCTTAAAAAATTTGGTTGCATTATTACTAAAAATAATTTTTAATAAAATACTGTAGCGTTACCAACGCCTCTAGTTTAGCAGCTCTTCATATATATGTCTTACCCACAGATAAGTATTTTATTTCATCTGTTTAAATGAACTTTAAGTTTGATGTTTATGATGAGTCTTTATAATAAATTATATATTGTAAAATATTTAACATAAATTAACATCATATAACTTGCTCAACACAAGTTATTTGCTCAACACAAGTTATAAATAAAATTAGAAAAAATGTACAAATTTGGCAAGCAAGCAAAATAAATAAAACCTGAAGCTATCTCATTCTCACATTAAAGGTGTAATGATATTTTTTTGGGTTTTCAAAGTTCTCATTTCAGAGGTTTTTCATGTTATTTAAAGAAATATTCAAAAAAAACTTAGCCCAATTTTATTATTAGTATTATTTAATTCTTCTTGTTTTTGTATTTTATTGTCCAATTCATATTAAACTAATTTCATTTCTTTCTGTTAAATTTGCTGTGAAATAGTTTTGTGAATCTGTCATACACACATATTACTTGATAAGGGGATGTAACTGTGAATGACACATCAAGGGAAGTTACTAGAGTTAAAAAATGCATTTTGACTAAAAATATATAAAAACGCTGGTACACTTATCTTTCATGGTAAAATGATAACTGATTAATTTTAGATTTTATATCATAATCATATAATAAAAATGTCATCCAAACAATTTCAGTATTTCATGGGTTTACCCTATATTTAAATACATTCTAGTATGCAAAGCTTAGAACACAACAATAACAATGATGAGTAATGCGGTTATTTGAACAAACAGTTTTCACCATGAGGTAATGAGGCTTTTTAATCTTTCACACAAGCCAATGCAAAAATAATGAATCTTACAACCAGTCTGAAAAGCTTGGTTTTAATTTTTGCAATTCAAACATTGAAGTTTTGACTGGTTTTCAGTCTAATTTTTATTACATTTGACAACTTCTTGCATACAAATATATAATCCTACACATCACATTAAAAAGGTTATATTGGTTTTAATAATGAAAACAAAACAGTTCTTAGGAAAAGTAAGGTATTTTCGCAAAAAGGGTAAAAAGAAGCAAACTATCAAAGGGTTTGAGCAAAATATGTGTACCCTCTTTTTCAGAGTTACATCTATTTCACACAAAATTCTCCAAAGTTTTATTAATTGACCTCCAACGTTTCAATCAATATTGTATGAACAAGTATTATAACTTTATTTTGATAAATTGAATATCATGTTTAGCACACACAAATAATTCAGCCAAAACTGAAAATTCAGTAATGAATGTCAAAATAATTTTATTGTTTATTATTTTCAAAAGACTGTTCTTAGAATTGTATAAACTTTTCCATCATCAAGACATGTTAATGTAACAATAATATCATGCCTTTAGATGTAATCCGAATAGTTTTTTAAATATTTGCAAAAAAAGAAAGAAAGTTAAAAGAGTAAGGAAACCATAATTAATCCACTGATATCACTAGTTTGTTGACCAATACAGCACATTCCCCAGTAAATATCGCATTTTCTTAAACTTTCATATATTTTTCAGCACAAATATCCATTGTGTGGCTGTAAGTGTACATGTATCGCATTTTCATCAATATTCTTGTGCGTGAATCTTGCAATTATGTTCATTTTCATTAATGATTAATCTTAATACAATTTGATTGCGAAAATACACATTAATGTGTAAGGATAATCTAAATAGCGGAATTGGTGGTGTTCAACCTGTGTCTTGTTTTCAACCTTCTGTGGATAACTAACACGGACTGCCGCTTTGCTTGCATTTAATATTGTTTACGATATGGCAGTTCAACATCCTTTGTTTATCACAATAAGCTGTCGAGGAATGATTTTCTGGTGCCTGATATCCCTATAACAGTTTGATTTATACCACCCAAATAGCAATTAGTTAAATGTCATTTAGATCTAATGAAAGTCAAATCTTTTAAACAACTATAGTGAGGAAAATTGAAATAACGGTTGCTAAAAATGAAGCTGATAAAACTGTAGAACCATTTCCGTCGTCTTTTGATTCTTTCGCAGACGTTGAATCTTCACCCTTTTTAGTATCGTAACCCTCGTCAGATTGTTTATCATTGCCGTTGTCATTACCATCAATATCAACTACAGGTTCTTTTGGATTCGGTTCTGGAAAAGAGGTAACTTATTTACTATGAAAATGGTATACCGTAGAATAGACAAAACTATATGCCAACTAAAGCATCTATGTTAATCTGTTGATACCAGTTTTGTGTTTTACAATCTACAAGTCTTTGTTTTAAATTATACGAAAATACATTAATTAATATCACTAATAATTTTTTTAACCAAGTAAATTCAAAATAGTATCTGTATTAAATATTTCTAATGGTTATCCTTCCTATGCTCTTTTAATCACAAGGAAACAGTACAGGCAAAATATTTTAGCTCTGTGCATTGTAGTTTTCCTTGGTTGCCCCATGATTTAACAAAGGGACATCACTAACACAACTACTGTAGATATTTACTTGGCAATGGTACATGCTTAAAATCTATGCTCTGGGTAGTGTAGTTTCACACAAAAAAATACTAGTATATTTTCTTATTAAACTGACCCAAGGGTCAGTTTCTACCCAGGGAGTTGGGGCATGACTACTGTAACATTTTAAAGGATCACAAGCAAAAAATATCTAAGCTCTAGGTATTGAAAATTCTGAGAAGACATTGTTAAGACATTTTACTAAACATGCCTTTATAAACTACGTGACCCAAAGGGTTGGGCCTTTTAACCCCAGGGAAATAACTTTGTAACTATAACTATAACATGTGTATGTAAAGTAAATGACCTCAAATGTGAGGTATTTTTACACCGCACGGGATCATAATCAATAAACCTTTTTAGAAGTCTACTGGGCAATGATATATGCAACTAGAAATGTGTCCATAGGACACGGGTGCCTACACACTCAAACCGATTTGTCAATCTTATGTCTCTAGGTCAAATATTTTGTTGGCTACATCTGCCCAAGTTGAAAACTAAAAATCTTGTATTCAGTAAAGGGCAAATACTACAAATACTGAATAAATCCACAAGAAAGCCCTAAGGTGCACAAGTACACATGATGATCAACATTCTTGTAAACTTTCAGGCCTACAGGTCATAAACATTTTGAGTTACGAGCAACACAAGTAAAATATTGTAATTTTTTACTAAATCAAGGGCAATAACTCTAAAAAATACTAAAAATAAACACACGAAAATACCCAGGTGCACAACTACACATGCTGAGCAACATTCCTGTAAGGTTTCATGACTCTAGGTCAAATACTTTTTTGAGTTACCTGTGACACAAGTTGCAAATTGGAAAATTTTACTAAGTCAAGGGCAATAACTCTAAAAATACTAAAATATCCACACGAAAATACCCAGGTGCACAACTACACATACTGATCAACATTCCTGTAAGGTTTCATGACTCTAGGTCAAATATTTTTTGAGTTACGTGCGACACAAGTTGAAAATTTGAATTTTTTACTAAGTCAAGGGCAATAACTCTAAAATACTAAAAATATACTCACGAAATTACCCAGGTGCAGAACTACACATGCAGAGCAACATTCTTGTAAGACCTTAACCTTCACTTATAAATGACCTTGACTTTGAAGGTCAAATTATTGAAATTTTCATTTTTTTTGGCTATTATGGGCTGTAACTTTGTTATTTTTGAATGGATTGTCTTCAAACTTGAACATAATAATCTTCAAGGAAAACCCTTAAATATAACCAGACAGACCTTAACCTTCACTCATAAATGACCTTGACTTTGACGGTCAAATTATTGAAATTTTCATATATTTTTTGCTGTAACTGGCTGTAACTTTGCTATTATTGAATGGATCAACTTCATATTATAACAAAAACATTCTTAAGGACAAGACCTTCATGTGTATCCAACTTAAATTCACTTGGGCTCTCTAATGACCTTGACCGTGAAGGTTAAATTACTGAATTTTCACAGATTTGTTCTTTAAATGACCATATATATTTATTGGTGTGTATGTTTATATATAAATGTGTATGTATAAATATACAAATTATATAGACAAAACTTATGTGACAAGACAGACCGATTTAATTTATAAAAAGGAAACGTTAAGATTTGTTAAAATATTTCTTTGTTTGCCGTCCGGTGGTGGCTCTTGATATCGTCTAAATCCAAACATTGTATTGATTTTTAACAATCATTATTGAGATATTGAAAAAGAAGGGGGCTTTAGAAAAAGACAAACATTGAATCACTACAAATGGATTTAAATTCAAACTCACTGCCTTCATAAAGATTATTATGTTTCTTTCCAAATGGTCCAATTTTATTCATTAATTCAGTACATGTAATATACTACCTATCAATTAATTTGACAAACTTTCAATTTCATATTATATGACCAAAGTCACATTTACCGTCTGTGGGTTCGGGTTGCTCTTCCTCAGATTCGGGTTCTGGTTGTTTTGTTGGTTCCGGTTCTGGAGTCACCTCTGGTTCGGGAGTCGGCAATGGAGGAATAGGCGTCCATGTAACACAACCTTCTTCTTTGGTTAATGGTACGAAATCATTGCAATATGCATCTGTTTAAATCAAATAAGATTTTTTAAGCAAATATACAGATAAAACAATACAAAATGAATCTACTGTTGTTTTTTACGATACAAGTACATTCAACTTAAGTAGATTGTCTCTAACCAGTAAGATAATGCAATGGATATGCATAACATACAGAATTTTTTTTCTATGTACTACACCATCCTATTTTGTTTCATTTACTTACATGTGTGTTTGTATGTACTTAATAAATGTTTACAAATGGTACTAAGATGAATCAAGTTTATGTTTGAATTTGTTCAACATGTCGGTTGTGTATTTATGTATGAAACAAAACTTTTAAATGAATGGCAAAGTTAAATCGTGAAATATAATGTAAATTCAATAACTTGACCTTGACAGTCAAGATCATTTAAGGGTCATTTTAATATTTTAATTATTACTGTTATGACAAAAGTGTTGTTTTGTCAAATTATAAATCAAAGCCGTAAATAAGAAATAAAGTAATGACAATTCAAACTAATAATTGGACGTCGGCGATCAAGGTTATTTAAAGGTCAAGATCATATTGAATAATTCAACATGTCGATATTTACTTTTGTCAAAGAATTCATCAATTCCGTAAATAAATAACAAATTTACCACACTTTTCATCACGATTCAAATTACTTTGAATATTAATGTCATATAATGGTCACAGTCAAACACAGTTTAATTTTCTTGATAGGTTCTTGTGTCCAAGAATGAAGACAATTCGTTAAAAAAATATCAGTTATTGTCAGTGAATTTTAGTTAAATTTTCAGCAATTTAGAAAAAAAAATCGAGCTTGAAGTTCAAGGTCATTTGTAAGAGTTTAAGGTAGATTCACTTTGGTATACTCAAAGGATTGTTGTGAATGTATGAAGACAATATATCAAGAAATAACAAAAATACTGACTTGAATTTAAATCAATTTTCAAATTTTTCAGTTTTTATAGAGTATCTTTCCTTTGCATTGCCAATGACCCGGAACTACCTGCTAGCGTTCACTTACCACCGTCCTCTTCAAGAAAAATATTGCAGCTTAGAGTGAAATCGTCCAGTAATTGGTCTGCCTCCCCTATGTTTGGCTTGAATTCTATTTCAAATACATTGTTCTTTTTCGTTGGTTTTAAAAACATAATTGTCCTTCCAGTTTTATCTACAGGCGCTGGCGGGCATCCTGGTATTTGTCCATTCTCGTTACCTGTAAGTAAATTTAAACTTCATTACACAAGGTCGAAAGTAATAATTCTAACGTCATCTGAATGTGAGTTGCAGTTTGACTTCCAAACAAAATACTAATTCACTATAGCTGTACTTATTGCTTTGACTTCCAATAAAATACTTATTAACTATAACTGTACTTACTGCTTTGACTTACAAACAAAATACTTTTTCATTTCAACTGTACTTATTGCTTTGACTTCCATTCGAAATACTTATTAACTATAACTGTACTTATTGTTTTGATTTACAAACTAAAAACTAATTAACTACAACTGTACTTATTGCTTTGACTTCCAAACAAAATACCAATTCACTATAACTATACTTATTGCTTTGACTTCCAATAAAATACTTATTAACTATAACTGTACTTACTGCTTTGACTTACAAACAAAATACTTTTTCATTTCAACTGTACTTATTGCTTTGACTTCCATTCGAAATACTTATTAACTATAACTGTACTTATTGCTTTGATTTACAAACTAAAAACTAATTAACTACAACTGTACTTATTGCTTTGACTTCCAAACATAATACTTATTCACTACAACTGTACTTATTGCTTTGACTTACAAACAAAATACTTATTCACTATAACTGTACTTATTGCTTTGACTTACAAACAAAATACTTATTCACTATAACTGTACTTATTGCTTTGACTTACAAACACAATACTTATTCACTATAACTGTACTTATTGCTTTGACTTCCAAACAAAATACTTATTCACTATAACTGTACTTATTGGCAAAAACATCACAAGGAAAAGATGGCCTAGGTAATTGGCCAATAAGAAACTTTCTGGAAAATATAACAGGACGTCAAAATAATAAAGCTTTTGAAAAATAAAAGCATTTCTGAGGTATAATGGGCGTGTAAAATATTCACCAAGTCATAAACATTTTCAATGACAATATAACAGTTATATAGTTACATATATGCAGAAGAGCACATAAAAAGATAAACACATAAAATTGGTATATTTCGACAGTTTACGGCGTATCTCGTCAACTTCAGTAAGAACAATACATTTAAAAAGCAGTCAGATGACACTTCCATGACACATTTTTGGACGCTCTTTGTCAAATTAAAGTCGTTTACATATTTTCGGCACCTTGCCAGAAGGGGGATGTGCCCTTTCTGTTTGGGAGTGTGAATGGGTCGGTAGACCCCCTCATCTCCAAGACACTTTTGGACTTGTAAGAGGCTATTAAAATGGCCTCAGGTCGACCTTAAGGTAACGTGTAAGGAACACTGAAAGCCTTTGACTCTATCTCAATCCATTGAAAGTTGCAACAATTTGAAATCAATTAGTTTTAATAGAAAAATCAATGCTAAATAGTAATTTTTGGCAATTTTGAGATGCCCCCTCGTTGCCATGGTAACAGGAAATTTAAGATTGAGTATGCCATTACAAAGGCTATGGTTCAATCAACAGTTGTGCCAAGTCTGAACAGTATTGAAGCCTTTTTATAGTTTCATAGCAATTCGAACTTGTAACAGGAGGCTTTTCAATGAAAACAGCCATTTTTGTATTTTCTGATCGAAAATTGGCGAGCTGACATTCAATCTCTGACACAGCGGTTAACGACAAATCTAACAACAAGTAGTTCTCAAAACTACGATAGCGTCCTGGTGACAATTTAACATGATCTATAAAAATTGAAAACTCCTACGTAGGAGATAGAAAAGCCTAGTTAGGAGTTTATAACTCCTACGTAGGACTTTAAAACTCCTACTTAGGTGGTTTTTTTATCTCCTACGTAGAAGTTATAAAGTCCTACGTAGAAGTTTGTAAGTCCTACGCAGGACTTTGAAACTCCTAATTAGGTTTTTATATCTCCTACGTAGGAGACGTATAGGAGATATAAAGTCCTACGTAGGAGTTATCTTTTTTATAGAACATGTTATATTGGCACCAGGATGCTTCCGTACAAAACAGCTTAATACTAGCGATTTAAAAGAAAGAAATACTTTTATTTTGTTACAAGTATCCAACAAATTACATTTGTACAATGCATTCAAAGTTTAAAAGTAGCGCTGGCTAACAGAATTGTCAATAAATGCACAATCACTACTTACGCGGATGAATATGATTTTGATGTCGATTACCGAATACTACACCAGTAGTGGAATATATAGATTCTACATGTCGGACTGTTTTGGCGAGAAGATTTTCGCTAAATTATTTACGTATATTTTAAACAACAGGTCTATCGTGAACAAAATACCTCGAAATTAATAAGGATTACAGATTACAAACCCGAAATGCAATGTAACATGTAAACCAATACTAGAAAGTTACCATGTCCGAAAAAGCACTTTATCGCAGAAATGTATGCAAATGTATACCGGATATTCAACAAAACATAACCGAATTTTGAAATAAGAACATTTAAAAGTCAATATTTCTGTACAATCTTTTTGCCGCTGAAAACAGCAAATATTTCTTGTTAAAACATTCAGCCTTGACACTTGTCTGTGTTTTACATTTTCTACCTGTGCTAATTAGAAACACGCGATGGAATGTAATGTATTTTGCATACTTTTATGCCTATCTTGCCTTCTGACAATGTAAAACGTCTTTCGTTACTCCTCTCTGATCGTGCCATAATTCCTCTTCTTAACAACCCAGTCTGATGTTAAATACGTTTTTGCAACCATTACTTTTATCTAGCGAGGCTCATGTGCGCAAGTTTTGGCAGCAGTTGCAGATGGAAATGAACCGTCACATCAGTAGAGAATAAGTGTATCTCTTACATTTATTACAGAACATTATCTCACAGTTCAAGCACAGCACATTACACGGAGGTTTGGGTAAATGTGAAGTATGGGGCTCACTTATCGTAATATTATATCGTCACTTAGATCGATTTGAACTGCATTTGAGACACATTACTTCTAAAAATTATTGAGGTCAATACATCGAAAAACAAACGGATCACTGACAAACAGGAACCGAAATCATAACATGCAGTTCTATAGAAATACATCGCACAAAATGTCAAATGAATTACAAATAGTGACACAAAAGGTTTTTTCCTTTACACTGAAAAAATAATAAATATAATAATAGATGACTATTCCAGACTGAAAATCAAAACATCATAGACGCAATATCGCCATAATTACATATTAATTTACATACAGCGGAATCAGAATCAATATTGAAATGTCTGGTTTTCGTTGTTAACATTGCCCTCAAAACTAAGCCATGGAGGGATAAAATCAATCTGATGCTAATTCATACAGCATCATGCACATTAAACAATATTCAGTATTGTTATAACTATGAAAAGTCTCGCAGAGAAACAATTTTTGTCCATTGTCTATTATGCTGCTAATGTATATTTGTTTATTCATTCTTAATAACGAATACACACGCTTGTTGTTTGTTCCTCTACAGTGAAGATAAGCCCCTGAACAATCTATATTTGAAAATGGGCTGGGAGTAAATCAGAAAATCAGTACAGAACATTGAGAGCTAGCACAATATAACTCGTTATACCTGCACTTTTTCAATCGTTAATTCTTATTACGGAAACCAGACATATTCATGTAAATGTTCGTCAACGAATAGAAGCTGATAAAACTGTGTTGCTCTTACCTAAGAATAAAACTTTTATTTTGATTATGTCGAGACATGACAATTGATTCTTTTGAAATGTTTGAACGAATACAGCATTTTCCGAACTGATTTGAGCACGTAATTTACGAGTTTTTGTTGTCTCGACTAGATCAATGTTATATATCATAATGCAGAAAGAATAAGCACATAATCAAGTAATATATTTATCCTAGGTTAAGGTAATCGAAGTTTTACTGTATTGAAAATCATTGAATATGATGCGCACGATTTTCTCGTGCGTCAGTAATATATAATAAAGTCGGATAGATGTGTATATCATTCGAGGTTTTCTGGATTGCTACACACGTTTATTTTACAATATCGTGCACTGATTTCCTGCCATCCTCCCTAAAAATTCACGCAGTCATAGTTAATCTGTACAGTAACTGATTTTTCTTGGTCCATTTTTATTCTTGATCGTATTCTTAAAACTGCAGAATAATTTTGCAAGGTTTATAATTGATTTATAAATACATAAATGTTTTAATGGTAAATGAAGTATGGTATTATAAAGATGCATTTTTAGATTAATTCAGTCAAGTTTTTTACGTTTTGGTTACGATTTGAATTAAACTAAAAATATTGTTCATTGCTTAAGTTTATATTTTCAGATTTGTTCCAAGAACAAGATGTACTACTTTCCCGGGATGTTCGTTATTTTGGAGAACGATTCTTTAGTTAGTGAAATACGATACCTTGAACTTTTCTGATTTCATTTTTATTGTCTGTATATAAGAAGAGATTCCATATTTTATACGTTTTTTTGTAAATGTTCTGAACTTATAGGTGGAAAGCGTGCAGTAATTGAGCGTACATATTCGGCTTTTAATTACATTTTACATAGTAAGTGGGTTACTTTTATGGATTTTCTCATTAAATTATGTCAGAGCACTTACGGAAGGTGGCCTGTCTTGAGTTTTGGTTTCCTACTACGTCCCCCTCCCACGATGGAGTAGGGTTGCGCAGCCGACTTGCAGCATTACTGACAGGGAAAGTACATGTACGTTCATAAAATAAAAATATAAGATTAGTGTCAAGAAAGTCTTTTTTGATCACACCGATTTATGAAACGTTGAGATGTTAATGTCATGTATACTGTTTCTAAGAACATGTATTAGTAATGTAGATATACGGAAATGCAGATAACAAATCCTAAATGTGAATTTATGTATTTGTTGTTCTTTCTTCCTTCGATTGCTTTTTAATGGGATAAATAATTCATTTACGTTTGAGCGTAGTGGATTAGGAAATAAGTTTTAATTTTCATTACTTCCATAACTTCCATAAATATTACAGAATTGAACCTCTGGAACTCGGAAATAAAACTCATAAGGCCTATTTAT